TCCTTTTTATGTGGGTAACGTATATGATATCTATAATACGCTGTCAACACGTGACCTGAATAGAACAAAATGGAGATCCCATCATTCTTCCTAGTCAGCTTGATATTTGAAGTGAAATGTATTTTTAAACAATTTTTTTTATTTTGCATGTTCTGAATCGTCAGCAAAATAACATAAAAAGTGTAATTACAGTATTGATGTAATGACCGAGCTCGGCAATAAAAACTAAATTCTTATTGGTCGACTGCATTCTTGATATGCAATGGTGTCGTTTTTCAATAATGATTTGAAAAACAAAAAATATCATTGTGTCTCTGGTGCAATTTTAAAATGTTATAATTTACGACCTCTATCAAAAGCAATTGACATTTTTAGAATCGATAGATAGAAAAGAAGTAGACCTCACAATGGCAGGATAAAAATCACAAGGATATCATAAAGAGAGATGAAGACAGATGAAATACAGATTGGCAATCTGATATCTAAAGTTCAATGGTATGATGAGATGTCGGTAACCTTTCGGTTTTTTTTTTTTTTTCTTTACAAGCTAACCGGTTTTAATATTTATATTCATCATCTTATTTTATTCTAACTCCCTGTGTCTTGATAAACGATTTCGGAAATATATATAATGTTTTCCTGTCAGCTGCGTTTTCGCCGATGATTGTTTTTGCAAATTATCAATATATTTTGCAACTAATAGAGTGGATATAAGTACACAGTCATCATGATAAGTCTCCTGACATACAGATTACAAAGTCCATATTTATGAGAGCCGAAGACGCTTTTTCAGGCCTGAGGGTATCAGTATATTGGCATACTTGTACCATTTAAACAATGACCAAGGAAACAATTATAATATACATAAACGAAATGAATGTGAATATCCATTTAAAGTGATAAATAGTATGCACTGGTAATTTGTTTTCTTTAATTTGATTTCTTTTATCAAACTCAAATCATCATCTGTAATTATATATAATTCAATATGAATTAAACGTTTACTTAGGTTTGTTAAAGATAGATAACTCCAGGTAGCTTGGACTGGAATACGTACAGCATATATTTCGGCAAGTAATCTGTATACAATGTCCCCGTGTGGTTAGACTATCCAATTAAGACATTATGTACTCCCTCTGATCAGTAAGTATCATAATATAAATGCTTATTTAATTATTAGTTAAGGAATATTCAACAATATTCACCGTAGAGGCTGAGAAAGGAAAGTCAGTCCGATGCCATGCAAAATGATTAGCGAAACGGACATCTAGCCGTAGAGCATGCGTTCTACTCTTCCTGCAAAAGAAGATATGGCCATAAAGAAGAATGATGTCAATGAATCCCCAAGAGCCAACTTTGTTCCGTGATAGTGTTTTTCCACATATCTTATCCAAAGGTCGTTATGGTCCTGATAAAGTTTCTAAGGGATCCAAATCTGTAAAGTCAGGTAGTTTTCTCGTGTCACATGGACATATTCACTTTTCAGCGTGAATGGTTATTGAAGAAGATAAAACAATTTTGTAAGATAATAAAACTAGGAGGTATACGTTCTTCTGATAAAAGTATATATATATATATATATATACATATATTAAAATACATTAAATATCGGTGACGAAGTTTATTGTTAGATGTTATAAGATGTCTCCTCATAAAACGACACGTAGTCAGCATAACTTCAACTAAAACACGAATGTCTGGAGGAAAGAAGACGTCGTTAACCTGTTTTATTGGGAGCTCAGTGTGACATCAGAAGTTCGTTAACCACTTTTTGTGTCATTACATGGTGTTTTCAGCTATATGTAACAGCAAACCTGACGTATTACATAAAAGAAAAAAACACAGTAAACAACACCACTGACGGAAATTACATTATTTCAAATTAAGATGACATTTATCCAAATGAGAATACAGTGGGACGAAAGCAGGCAGAAATCAATCACATAGCTAGTTTTCATAGGAGTGTTAATTTGGTCTATTTATGCCTAGATGTTGTTCAGGTAAACTTTACGATATTAATAAGCAATTCAACTTTTTAATCATTCTTACATACATTTATATTATTCAAGGGTTGCATATTGCAAAAATATGTAGACAGTTACCATAAATAGCTACCTTAATGTTGTGTACATTCCCAGCGCTCTACAGATAAGTGATTATAGAATCCCAAGGAAAGTCACCATTCATTCGTTGACAGTGATAATAGCGCCGTTGACATTCCCTAACCCTACCTATAACCCTAAATAGTGTCAATATAAGTTAAGAACACAAAGAAATGGAAATAACCCACCGGGATAGCATTTTCATCAGTTCAGTAGAGTTGTCCTTGGTTTACCAGCGCATCCTTCATACAGTAGCAATCAAGGCCATAAAAATTCAGTACTAAGGCCAAGGAAACAAAACTATGAAGTCCTGTTGTGTTACCAGAGACGGTACAATTCTGATATCTGGAGCGTCAAAATTTCTACTGTCCATATTATGAGTTCAACGATACTGAAAGTGTTCATGATTTTTCTTTTTTGCAAATTAATAAACATCATCAAACATAATTGAACGCTGTTGATGATTTCCGTTAGTGTTACACTATGGAAAATTTATAATTTATAAACATAAGCGAAAGCACATGTTTTCTGGAACTGTTTGAGTCGAAAATATTTTTGTTACCATTTACATTTCATATACCCTATCTCTAGATATTATACTCGATTTTTTATCATTAGCAAAGATAAAGCTATCAATCTATTGTACAAAGGCAATGTTTTAAAATGCTTTATAAAAACAATAACAAATTACATTTATTATATCATTTTTGCACTGAAATACAGCTGTTAACATACTATAACAATGTAATTTGTTAGGTCTTGGCAGAGCACTGAAGCAGCACTACATTTGAATCCGTTTCATGTTGTTGAAACGGGAAGAATCATTTTAATCTTGATAATGTAGGTGAAAACAGAGCATTGTCGTTACATGACATGTGTAGTCGATGAAACAGAGGACGCTTTCACTTCCAGAATATTCAGTCATATCATTTATGTACTTTTTCAAGGGTCTCCATATGTATATCTTTAATTTTGTCTTATCGAGCGTTCGTTTCATTGTCTTTTTTTTAAATTTGAATCTAGAATCAAGATTTTATTAATAAAGTGGTATCGGTTTCAGCACTGATATGCGTTATACTGTCAAAGTCATCAATTGTTAAAAGTAAGCCAACCCATCATTATGTAATATTTAAGAAGAGGTGACCAGCTGATGCAATGATATTAAACTCACCATTCACCTAGACGTCCAGGGTTGGATTTCCCAAAGGAACGTGAAACGGTACGGGATCGCCTACCAGACCATGTAGGTTTTCTACGGGTTCTTAAGTTTTCTACTACAATAAGGCCCTTATGGGTTTCTATTCGGGCCAACAAGAGTGATGATTTTATGTTCGAATAGCTTGTTTCGCCATTGTTTGTAAAATAAATAAAGTTAAATTTCTATTATTTCATTTCCGTAAGTATTGAAATTGTACTACACTGGTAACAATATGATAGTGCAAAACTATTATTTTACTAATGCTGACATCTTACTGCAATTGTATAGTACATGTATTATTGACTCTGTTGTTTCATTTAACTCTAAAACATCTTATGTATACTGCATTCACCAGATACCTGAGTCTATGGTGTAAAACTACCATAGTCATTAGTGATTTTGTAGTTGCATTTAACTCTCTGCCATCCATCGTATGGAGCATCGACTTCCGAAAGCTAATGATAGGTTCATACAATACAGTCTCGAATTCAAAAATTCAGTAAAGTCAATGAATTGAAAAGAATATCTAATTCAATTTCGGAAATAAAATATCTTGTTTTAACAACAGATCATCTACTTTAATTTTTCTAAGATAAATTAACTGATAAATAACAAACCTAATTTATAGAATTAGATACCTTGATAACGACATGATATATGAAATTCATTAGATAAGATCGATAAATGTACATAAATATCTAATTTAGTAAATAAAGATATCATATTTAAAGTATGAATTTAATCAAATAATAAAATGTAAGTTAGGTATCTAATTGAACAAAGGAAATATCTTTTTATAATTTAGTTAAGTATTTGATCAACATTGTTCCATGAATGACAACTTGGCTTGCCACGAGAGAGCAATTATGGTTCTGGAAAACATTACGTCAACCTACTTTTACTTTTCAAAAGTTAATTAGTTGTTTGTTTGCAAACTCTATTCCTTTTAGCCTTTTGTACGTGGTTTATGTTGTTTATAGAATCGTAATAATGCATTGTTTATTGAAAACTAAATAGCACACAGTGATGCTATAATGAAGAATGTTTTTTTCGTTGCGTTCTTCGTTGCTGAATAAAAATAGAAACACTTACAGTGCTTCATGTAGTCGTTCTATGGCTTAACGATGTCAACGCATTCCGTCTTCTTCAGTCATCGATGAGAGTATTTGTGATGACTCACGTGCTCCAACATGTGACCACGTGGGTTATACTGACCAAGAAAGCCATGAATCAACGATGTCACGAAAATTGTCAGAGTGCAGTTATGATTTTAGGATTTTTTAATATCAATTATGAACATTATATATTGTAATGTGTTTCACTCATGAAAGTAAAGATGGATATACCATAAACAGTTAAATTGATTAAACGATCTTCTCAGAAACTTAACAATTGATATTTACGATACACTGGTAATACGTTTGTGATGACATATTGCCACGAGTGAAACCCAATGCCGTTTTCAATCTGTTATAGCAGCGTTAAAGGACCCCTGCCAATAAAAAGCCAGTTAAACGACATATAACTAATGCTAATAGTGATGGACTCTCGGAATCAACGTCGTTTTAATGGCAGCCCATATTACCGGTTCCGCTCACGTGAACGATGTAGGTGTGGACGTTTTTCCTGGATTTAATCAGTTTTAAATGAAATAAGAAGGAAATATTTTAATTCACTACATTTAGAACACAAACCGCGCATAATTAACTAAATGGAAATTTATTTTTAAAACCTTCATTTAAAAAAAAGATTATTATATAATGTAATAAAATGTACACTGTGATACATGTATATTGCAATTGTTTTCATCCGTTACTCAGTTACTCATCATATTTCTTTGCAGGATTTCAACATAATACTAAAGCCACGTCATGCAAGCTTGTGTTTTGTGATTTTAAAGTTCCGACTATGTCCTGAAGTATAACATACGGATATACCAACATAGCAATATAATAAATGGCAATCATTTTTACCACCACTTCGTTATTCGTCCTTATCTTCCCCCACTTCCTTGAAAAATCCTTGAGATGATTGCAAAACATCTTTGAACATCCTCTCTGTATGTTTGGTGATGGTATCCACATCTTTCCTGAGGACATCTAGCTTGCTAATATTAGCTATACATGCCTTCATGGCTGCAGGCCCATCCGCTGAATCTAGGTCTGACTTCATAATATCCTTCTTCATTTCGTGTGCGTCGCTTAGAAGGCACTCAATCGTTGACCTTACCTGTGGGGCGCGATCTAGTATTTTCTTTATTAGCTTATTTATTTCATTAAAAAGGTCCAATACCGGAATTACTTGTTGGTAATCCACGGTGCAAGTGCGTAAAATCTCCTCAGATTTATAATCAATTTGAATACAGTTTTTCAACTTCCTATCTACAACCAATTCCGCTTCACCTAAAATGCATCGCAAGAATAACAAGGGTTAATGTTTCGAAGTCATATTGTTTATGCCATATTTGTGAACAACGAACAAGGTTGAAAACATCGAAATAGTAACATTTACTTTCCTTAAACGCCGTCTTTATATGATTCAAGCTTCTGTTCATTACAATTGTGCACTATTGTTGTAATCTAAATAATATGATATCTCTTTGAACTTGCACTTCATTGTCTGGCTCACAGGAAATAATTCATATACTTATTTACTTTATTTTCTATTTCTATCATATACCATCAACTTACCACATCTTTCTACTAGGATCACAATACATTTATCAAGTTCAGAAATCCCTTCGGAGGAGTGCCAATTTGGGCCTTCTGGCGGCCATGACCGATATTTTTTATTTCTTGTGTAGGAATTCCTTGGGGTTAGGCGGTCATGATATGACATAAAATTAAGGTCAGATCTGAGCCATTCATTAGTTATGGGGCGGGGGGGGGGGGGGGTAAAGTGGGGGGTAAAATTCATAAACAGCTCCATTATGACAAACCTACATTATATTTTTGGATTTTTTCTTCTTAATTTTCATGTAATAATCCATATCAAAACATTCATTAGTAAAATTGATTGAAAAAAATATTCCATTGTTGAAAAGTAGGTCATGGTAATTAAGCTCATTAATTGCTAATTATATTAAAGATGAACTTAATTTTCTGCCTTAATGCACATAAAAACAATACCTTTATCATGTGTCATGCTTTAGTAAGATTTATTTTTGAATACTTTATAGAAAATGGAGAATTAATTAATGGGAGGGGGCGGGTTCACACTTTTGACAACTTTTGGTTGATATCAGAGTTGTCTTATGTAATTATATTAGATAATAAATATCTAATAAATAAATGTTAAATTGTACTGCATTAAGAACTGTTTAAAATAAATTGCTTGATAAATGTAGAGATATTTAAACCAGTTTGGTACGGCTGGTTGAGCTTTAAGCTAAAATGGCGGGATATAATGCCATCCCCTGACATATACCTTGTTAAGGATCTTTGTGTCTACCGGTGAGTATACATGTGCACCTTGTCTCAGACAGTTCATATACCCTTATATATACAATTAATACGTGGCAACTACACTTCACAACCTCAGCGATTTTAGTATACTTTCTTGGTTTGACTGTCACTGATATTGTACATATAATTTAGACATATAATTGTAATTCAACTGTTGTTCATAATTTTGTTCATCCAAATTAAGGTTTTAATAAGGAGTGTTTTCTAAGTTTATGCCCTGTTTTCTTTTCTTTTATCAATATGCCAGTGCACAGGCAGTGCGCTTGTTGTAAAGCACAATATAAAGTAAGGCTCTGTTGTCTGAATAAAACAGACATTCTGTCTTACTTGAAAGCAAATATTAATGATGCCTTAAGGTTTGGTGACCCCGTATGTAAAAAATGCAGGGGAAGATACTACAATCACCATTCATCTACTGAACATCCTAGTAGCGATGTAGAGCACCAGCTTGAGTCACCTGAAAACAAAAAAATCAAACTTGACATTCCACGGGCTACATTAGGTGAATCTCGATGTTTCATTTGTAAAATGTTAAGAGAGGAATGTAAAAGTAAAATGGTAATGCTCTCAACAGAAATGCGAGTAAAGATTTTTATTAAGACAGGTATCCTTGTCCCAAACACCTGCAGATGTTGTTCTTCCCACATAGTGAATGGTGATTTCCCATCTGATAGTCTATCTTCACTCGCATATTCCAGCAAAGACACTGAACTGGATTCTTCTGAAATATCAGAGATCCTTTTGACACTTAGGGCAGCTGCTTCAAAGAAAAGTTGTTTAGACTTTGATTCCTCAGATGGATTAACTGATCAAGATTACTACCGTCTCACAGGTCTGTATAAAAATCAATTTTCTGACCTTTTACGATCAGTTAATCCCTCTCTTTACTCTACACTGAACAGAAGCGCAAGGACTGCATTAGCCATCCTGCTTGTAAAGTTGAGGACTGGCATGTCTTTATCAATATTAGCTTCTCTGTTCAACATGACAAAGAGAATATGTGGAAAATGTATTCATTCAGCTCGCCAAGCATTGATGACCCACTTCGTTCCTTCACACCTTGGCCTGCAACACATCACTAGAGAACAAGTAATTCAAAACCATACAACGGTATTTGCAAGGAAGATGTTTGCCTCTGGTGAAGATGTCGCTATAGCTGTTGCTGATGGCACATATATTTATGTTGAAAAGTCCAGCAACTATACTTTCCAACGACGCTCTTTTTCGATGCACAAAGGACGCCCTCTCCTGAAACCAATGCTTCTTGTGGCCTCAGATGGCTATATACTGTCTGTCCTAGGCCCATATTTAGCAGACGGTCGAAATAATGACGCCAACATTACAAAACACATGTTGAAAACTAACACTGAGAACATCAAGGATTGGTTTCAAGATGATGATGTTCTTGTCGTTGACAGAGGCTTCAGAGATGTGACAGAACTGTTGAATGATGCTGGCATCAAAACAGAAATGCCATTTTTCTTGCCAAAGGGGCAGAAACAACACACACATACTGAGGCAAACGAATCTCGTCTTGTAACAAAGGTAAGGTGGGTTGTGGAGTCGGCAAATGGGCGGATTAAGCAGTGGAAGACCTTGGGACATGTTTTGCCCAACACTCTCATTCCAGTTGTAGGTGATTTTGTGAGAATTGTGTGTGCAATTTGTAATGCTTTTCGCCCCCCACTTGCCTCTGATTCTCCCAATGACCTCATCATTGCTGAGCGAATGTTGGCTCTGTCAAAATGTCCCAATAAATTGCAAATTCAAGTTGAAAAAGAAGGTTTGGCTAGGAAAAGAGCCATATGGGTCAAGCTTGATGAGGCCAGTTTGCCTGACTTTCCTCAGCTGACAGAACCGGAGTTGAGAGATCTTACCATGGGAGTATATCAGTTGAAGCAGGCAAAGTCATATACCATGGAGCACTTGTCTGAAGATGGCCAGTATGAATTAATGGCATGCAGGGAAAAGCCTGGCTTAATTAAAGTTCAGATTCGTTCCAGACATGTTGCTTCGAAACTGTACAACCTGTGGATTGAGTATTCCCCTGGTTTGACTCCTATATCTGGTTGGTATTGCCAGTGTAAGGTTGGTGCCAGGGTAGTGGGCTGCTGTGCCCATATTGCATCTGTTCTCTGGTACCTTTCTTATGAGCGACACCAGCCTAGGATAGCACACCCAACTGCCTCATCAAGCTACCTCAGCTGTGCTGATGACGCAATGATGATTGAGGACTGGTCTGAGTCTGACAGTGACAATGAGTAACTAACTATGTGTACGACCATTGTATGTATAGTGGAGTGAAATGCAACACTAGAGGTTAAGATTGATATCTTTCATTAGCCATTTCTGTGTTAATACTTCGGTAAAACCACTAGATACAGACATATGGTCAAAGTTGTCGAACTAAAATTCAAAGCACCGCCTCTTCTTTGTTTTCTTTAAAGTATGCAAAAATATTTCTTATTAAAACATGGTACATGATAAAGGTATTGTTTTTATGTACATTAAGGCAGAAAATTAAGTTCATCTTTAATATAATTCGCAATTAATGAGCTTAATTACCATGACCTACTTTTCAACAATGGAATATTTTTTTCAATCAATTTTACTAATGAATGTTTTGATATGGATTATTACATGAAAATTAAGAAGAAAAAATCCAAAAATATAATGTAGGTTTGTCATAATGGAGCTGTTTATGAATTTTACCCCCCACTTTACCCCCATAACTAATGAATGGCTCAGATCTGACCTTAATTTTATGTCATATCATGACCGCCTAACCCCAAGGAATTCCTACACAAGAAATAAAAAATATCGGTCATGGCCGCCAGAAGGCCCAAATTGGCACTCCTCCTTTGTATCAACCAATAAATACAATTCACAAATTTTATTCAAAAGTTACGCACACATAAAAAATGTGTATTTTGATAAGTATTTTATTATGATTATTTTTTTTTTCTCTTTTCTTTTTTATTTTTTTTTTTTTTTTTTTTTTTTTTTTTTTTTTTTTTTTTTTTCTTTTTTTTTTTTTTTTTTTTTCTTTTTTTTTTTCTTTTTTTTTTTCTTTTTTTTTTTTTTTTTTTCTTTTTTTTTTTTTTTTTTTTTTTTTTTTTTTTTTTTTTTTTTTTTTTTCTTTTCTTTTTTCTTTTCTTTTTTTTTTTTTTTTTTTTTTGATATTTCGAATGCAATTGAAAATAAGTACAAGTCAACATTATCACAGCTCAAACTCAATGTCGATGAAATTAGGGAAGAATTTGAACGAAAGGTACTTGTTTGCTGCTTTATCGACGAAAATCCAATTGACCAACACCCATGTAACCAGCAAGAATACTATTAAGCATAACATTAAGAATCATACCTTTGTAACATATATTGCCCACGAAAAAATCTTTACAACGAGATGACGTTAAACTCAATTTCCTTCACCTACATCTCTGGAAAGCCTTTGTAGTGTGTTTATCTGTCAGTTGCATGGATATCGTGATAATAGGAACAGGCTTCCCAATACCGAAGGGAGTTGCAATCAAGAAATTTCAATTTAAATAAAAACTAAAATCATCACGACAGTAGCCACATGATAGACGTAAATTTTAACTAGGTTTCAGGAAATTATATAAGGTATAATATTTTGGCAAATTACCAGTTGGGAAAGACATATTTATGTGTGCTGTAGACTTACGTATTTCCTAACAAGCATGAAAAAAAATCAATTGCAAAGATATTCGTGTATATAATGAGGATTTTCAAGAAGAAAAAATGATAGCAATAACGTTACATGAATTTTGTTGAGATAATATGTGAAATTTACCTGGAATGTTTTGTCTAACTTCGACAGTGCAACAGTCTTCATATCAGCAGGCCTTAATACGTCGACAGAGGACACTGAAATAGATAAATACAGTTTCATGCATTTTTCAAAAATGCCTAAAACCTTTCAAACAATATTCATGTATTCACAAATACTTAAGTCTATCTGAACAAATCACCATTAAAAGCAGCTTAAAAGGGAAAATGTGAAAGTCGTATATCTTAAATGTCATTGAATTTTACTGTCTCAATATGGAATCTGTAAGCAATGAATGTAACATTGTATTGTCAAAATATAAGGTTTGTGAACTTATTATGCTTTGTTTCTAGTGAGGTATATTTCAAAATAGTTTATTTAGATTGACAAAATACTGCTTTCTTCATATCAATGCCTGAGGTTCTCATCAGGTTTTTTTTCTTCGTCCATGTCTATTTTCACGCCATTGCTGCACATATATTCTTTTCCCATCTTTTCGTCTTTGATTTCAAACTATTTAGCAATGCTATTCTCAGTGTCATTTAAAACTAATATGAAAATCAGATATGACAATGGTTCCTTTAGGCATTATATGGTAGCTGATTGAAGATGTTGGCAAATTTAACCAGTATATTCATAAAAGCTGGTTAATGCCATTAATTTCAAGAAAATGAAAATCTTCCATCGAAGCATGCTACTGGAAAAATATCATGACTGTTACTCAAGTGTACCAAGAGGTGATTTAGGATTTCAACAACATTTACTTCAGAGATATTGCAAATAAATCAATGTCATTCATATGTAATTGGCTAAATACAGATGTATCTCGTACCTTGACATATTTGTTTAAAACGTATGTCATATGTGACCTCTTTCACTTTAAAGGTGACTCAAGGTTATTCATATAAACAAACTTATTCACCAATTAAGGATACTGCACCTATAACTTCACTCTGTGCCACTTGAATATTGCGAACAGTCACTTATAGGAAAAAAAGAGCACAGGGCGCCTGGAAGATGACCGTCCCATCAAGGCATTTTCATTTCACGAAAGAATTACAGTTAAAGGATTTACTTAAGATTATGTGTTCTAACATGACGAAAATCATTAATGTTCAAAGTGACAAATAATTACTCCTTAAGTATGTGAACTCTTGATGAGAATCTAATTTGAGATCTGTTACATTGTTTGAAAGGCAATTTCCTACTTTCGATTTTTCAGGCACCAGATCCTCCCTACCTATCAGCAACAGAGAAAGGACAACTCAAAATGTCTTACAAATCAACACTGTACATATGTAGAACTTTTTCCACCGTGGGATGAACGAATGCACGTTGCCAGAGCTAGATATCGATGAATTTCCGATAATATAGCATAGTCAGCCTTTATGTTTTTCATTGATTTTGCATTTTCCTTAACAATCAATTTTTGTAATTAAACATTTTTTATCTTATTTGGTATTAAATTCGTATTAGTAATTTGCTCTTTCTAGCGAAATTACAGAATAACCAGACCTGCATCATGCTACCACGAGTAGGACTGATATCAGTAAATCAGTGTTGCGTTTCATAGTCATGTTGTTTGTGCATAAAACGGAAATATCGTCGAACTCGCCGTGCGACGGCTATAACGCATAGCATAATGGCTTCTCTGTCCTAAACCTAAATTAATTTGTTCTTTCTCGGAATTTTACCTTTCTGTTTAGTACGGCGAAACAAGGTCATACCAGTCTCGTGTCTTTTTTTTAATCTTCAACGAAACCAGCAACTAATTGAATTTAACAGAAACAGGACATTCAAAATGATTAGAAAAAATCTAAAGAATTAACAGTAAAATTTGAAAAAGTCAAATTAATTCATTTTTGAGCAAGTACGCCATTTACGTGTACATTATGCGTTAGAGTAAAATCGAAAATGTTATATTTGTCTTTGTAAAGCGATGGCACTGCTGAGTAAAGCATTAGGTTATGATAGGATAAAATATCAGTACATGCCAAATTCTACTCATCAAGAGCAAAAACATTCTCTCGTACGGCATGATGTATTGATGCTTTTTATTCATAGTAAATTCCATTTGTGTATAAAGAATGTTTCGTGTTTGGGCATGCTTCATACGTTTTTTTCTATATGATACTGCAGATTTGAAAATCGGGTTAAAGTAAAGATGACTAATTTACTTGAGACTAATGACTGAAACTACATTTCATTACTTACAGTTAGAACTGTAAATAAAATAAATTTGCAATGTTGGTGACATTATACATCGATAATGCTAATCTGGTATATGTATGCGTGTTTGTAAATATGTAAGCTTGGAATCGTCATGACAACAAGCCCCATTATGTCATATCATCAAAATACCAACAGAGTTTACATAATGACGGGGATCGGAAATCGAAATCAAAACAGACCTAGTAACGTCAAATTCGTAAGACTTGTCCGTGACAAAATAAACAAAAACATTATATAAAATAAGATATCAATATGTCAAAAAATCATAATCCAAACTCAAATGCAGTAAAACTTAAGTAAAATTTAAAGAATGATTTACACGAGGAACCTTGAAAAAGTGCAGAGATATAGACCAGGTGTTCAGGAAGATTAAGCAAATTCTTCTTTATTGATGTCACCCGCCATGTAAATCTTAGTCATTCGCATAGAGTACTGCCAAATCCTCAAATGAGAACAATATATGCAACAACGGAATTAACAGGCAAAATTGAACATATTTCTCAATGAGCTCATAATCATCCTGAATTTAAGCATGCTCCTTTGTACCGGAATGAATCAGCATGTCCGATGGTAACATACCACGCTAGAGCAACGTTCTCTAGTTATTTACCTTTAACTGTGTTTTACAATAAGTAAGAAAATCTGGAAAATTCCTACGTGTGGATATAATCTACTTCATTGACAATAAAGATTTTTTTCTTTTCTTCTTTTATTATATAACACTGTATAACAGGTAATACAGAAGACGCACAAGTGAATAATAACGCCTTCAAATAGACATTACAGTGGAGCTAAATAAATGCTTAAACCACATTATACAGTTGCTTCGTCCTTCAAGTTTGAAGCAAAGGAGGCGACTGAGGAAAATCCAAAGCGGCCTTAAGAAACTGCTACCTCGAAGATAGTACAAAAAAGACAAGGAAGTAAACAACATATTTAGATACAAATTTAGAGCTAGATACAGTAGAGTCTAACAAAAAAATAAACAGCAACATACAGTTGTTTCGACGTTCTCTGAAAACAAAATCAGAATATAATATTCTCCAAGATATAGCTGTTAAAAGATGTAATTCAAAACTAATAGTTTTCTCTTTATTTCCAGCTAATATTTCTGACCCGATCACTCTTTCTGCTGGGACTACATCACCCTGACAATGAATTATTATCTCTAGCTAATTCAACCTATAACTCTGTGTCAAATGACCTTGAAGCATAACAATGATATTATCACTGGCGTGAAGGACACGACACAACTATTGATTAAATTCGACATCAAACATTACCAGAACACATGAAAATTGATTTCATTTACGCCATGGTGTCATCCCGTATTCCAATGAGCACTGACCTTTGATCAAGCTAGCATCACTTCTTTTATCATTCATGGCTTTAATTCACTAATACTCTCTTTAGAGAAAACGACTCTTTTTAATTATAATTCTATATTTGTTATAACTTAATTTTAGAACCTTTCATCATGTGGTCATTTCATTACTTTTACAAAGTTTGATATGTTATTCGTTTTGAAAACATTCTATTCATTTTACTTCTTGGCATTGATGCATTATGGGAAACAATACAAACTAAGAGAGGTGACAGATGTATTGTGGGAAATTATACCAACTAAGAGAGGGGACAGATGCATTGTGGGAAATGATGCAAACTAAGAGAGTGGACAGATGTATTGTGGGAAATGATACATACTAAGAGAGGGGACAGATGCATTGTGGGAAATGATACAAAGTAAGAGAAGGGACAGATGCATTTGGAAATGATACAGACTAGGGGAGAGAACATATGTATTGTGCGAAATGATACATATTAAGTGAGACGAAAGATGTATTGTGGGAAATGATACAAACTAAGAGAGATAATAGATGTACTGTGGGCAACAATACAAATTAAACGAGAGAGGAAAAAAGTAAAGTGGGAAATGATACAAAGGAAGAGAGGGGACAGATGTGTTGTGGGAACAATACAGACTAAGAGAGAGGACAAATGTATTATGAAAAATTATACACATTATGTGAGAGGAAAGGTGTATTGTGGGAAATGATTCAAACTAAAAGAAGGGGCAGATGCACTTTGGGAAATGATATAAAGGAAGAGAGGGGGCAAATATATTGTGGGAAATGGTTTTACTAAGTGAGGGGACAGATGCATTGTGGGAAATGATACAATGAAATTAACTTTATCTTTGATGATAGAGAGGCACATTCGAACAAGACCTGTCGCGACAGACGACGTCCGGTCGTGCATAGACACTGTAGACCATTTCCGGCATTTGTTCAATTATGTACAATAAGTAATTATCTGTCAAGTATTTGGAAGGTAAAATATCATTAGCCGACATTTTAATGTATGAAGTGATCTCCTCACCGAAATGAAATAAGGTAACATCGAATTGCATGGAAAGTCGGTGTTGTCGTTTCGTCTACAATCCATTACATTCGCATCGAGTCATTTTGTGTTAGGTTGAATGCAGTAAAATAAAAATAAAACCTGCCCAGCGTTGTGTACTCAAGTGTCTCATGCCAACGTTTTGTTGATTTCCTTTAGTTTCTTTTTTTCAAATCTTACATTGTCAAGTCAACAGTACACAGGACACGGACAGACATAAAGTAGTGTATTCTGTACTGCTTTCTAAAAGCAGCTCTCCTCGGAAATATTCGGAGAAATATAGTTTATTTGGGAGTGTGGAAAAGTTTCATATATATTACATAAATGATCGATGTCTTAATTCTATTACGTTTACCAGCAGCATAACGAAAATCGTTTATCTCGCTTTTTATCTCTTTTTTGGTCTATGCCAACATTATTCACTGTTTTCAACAGTTGTTAAGTACTAAAAATTACAGAAGGGTCC